TTTTCCTCTTTTTGGTTAGCAACAATATTGGCTTATTTTTCTCTCGGGATCCTTTCACATTTTCCATAATGCAGTAAAGCTAACAAATAAATGCTCATAGATCAGAGAATGCGTAATTAACTTAGATGTATAATTAAATTCCAATTTTAAAAATAAGAAGATTGAAAAGACAATTTTTGTTTACATTTTGTTTTTGCAATAAATAATTATATTGAATTATAATATCACAAGATGTTTTACTTAGAAGATAAACTTATATTTTCTTTTATGTTTAATAATTTTTTTTGAAAATCGGTTTCCATAGAAATTTTAAGAGAACTATGCGAGTACGATCCAATTTGCTAACCTATCATTATCTAACATTTCTCCTTTACTTTGATCACATTTTCAGGCTACTCCAATTTTTTGTTATCCCAAAATCTTAATATTTAGATATATATATAGATAATATCTTAGACATATTTTCTAAAACCAATCGAAATGAAAATGAAAATAAAATAGTATAACGAAATTAAAAAGATATAGGTCAAAAAATTTTCATACAATAAAAATTTAAAATTGGTGGTAAAGTTTATTGGCAGTTTGCTAAGGTAATATTAACAACAATAGTTGCTAATGGCTATTAGAATATTTGTAAATGGGTTAGTTTATTCTTTGAGATTTTTCATAGCAAATATTAATATTATAACTTATTGTGAGGAATGAAAATTACGCTTAAATTACTCTGAAAGTATAAAAATAGAAAATTATCGGTTATATCTTAGAAAATTCGATTAAACGATTATTTAATTTTTTATTTGCAAAAAATGAAAATTTTGAAAACTTATTCAAATAAAATTGCTATGAAAATTGCGATTGATCAGAATACAATTCACTATTTCAATTATATTAAGTTTATGAATAGTTAATTAATTAATTAATTAATTAGAGTATACGATCCCTATAAAATGCTTTTGCATGAAGTAATGATGAAAAAAAAGGAATAGAGGGTATAATTCAACATGATATATTACTTTATAAAATCCGGAATGAGTCAATAAATTTAATGATAATTGATATGATTATGAAATACTGCGATACTGTCAGGAGATGATAACTTCCAACCATTTTTAATGTAATAAAATCAATTTAAAATAAACAACTTGGAACAATCGATTGCAATTTCATAATATTAGAGGTGCGACATTGTTATCGAAGTGAATAGAAATGAAATGAAAAACAAAATGAAATAAAATTGGAGAAATGAGTGAGAGAGTAAAATGTGTGTGATGTGATGTGTACATAAAAGCAACCAATTTACACTTTGTCATTTCTAATTTTAATTTTCCAACAGAATAAACTAATTAATTCAAAACAAATAATATATCAGTAAAATGAATAAATAAATTAGATCGGAAAAAAAAGTTACAGTTATGATTTCGAATTCATCTGGCAACAACAACACGTAAATTGGCAAAGTGTTGAAAAATTAAATTAGCTGACATGTGACAGCAATAAATGGAATGGATCGAGTCAGGAATTATCAATCAAATTTTCTCATTTAAATCATTCATTTCAAAGTATTTCATTCTTTTTTTTCTCTATCTTATAACAGGTAAAATTATTTCTAATGCTTATTTTCAATTTACCTGAAACTTTCGAAAATGTATTTTCTGATTGTAATATGAGAGCGTATAAGGCTTCATCATATTATAATCAAAAGCCGGTTTCGCTAGTTTATTTCGATTCAATTGAGCGTAAAGCAAAGAATTCCTTGAATGCTTATTAAGTTTGCTAAATTGCTATTTAAGAATGTCAAATTATTGCAAAATCTGTTTATCTAATTTTGTTTTCATTAATTTATTTCCTTGTTAATTGACAACATAAACATCGAGTTGGATGAACATGATTATCATGATTACGATTTACCGCAGTGATTATCGTGATTGCAGTTATTTTTCGTATGAAATTGAAAAATTTAATTAATGATTACAATGCTAATATATTTTTATCTAATCACTCATTGCTATTATAATTGTTGAAACGAAATTAAAAATAAAACGAATCAATTAACTGAAAATAATTTTGTATTTAAATTTCGTTTTCTTAATTCGAAATAATTTTATTATTTAATTTTAAACTTAATTTATTATCATAAATAAGGAAAGGATTTAAAAAAGGAAATGATATCAATGATTTCAACCTTAAACATTACAGATATTATTTTGGTTGTCCAAAGATATGATAAAATTAAAATTGATAAATTCAATTGGAAGAAACAAAGGATGAAAATTATTCATTAAAAAAAGACAATAGCTTATACAAACAACTAATTAATTCTAAACAATCAAATGAAAATTAACTTTTCAAATTTTCGTCAATTTTTTTTAAATTAAACTCATTTAATGCTTAATAATTTATAGAAAATTAAGATTAAATAAAGTAAACATTAATGAAATTAATTGTTTGAAATTATTGAAAATTACTGAAAAAGTAAAATTGAATAGCAAAAAATATATGAAATAATAATAATTAAATAGAAGAGATTGTGTTAGAGGAGAATGGAATAAAATTAAATGAAATTTTACTTTCATAATTTCAACTTTATCCTTTCTGCAATCCTAATTGAAAGGAACTGGTTCCAACCAATTAAATGACAGTTAACTTTCCATTCAATTCAATTCAATGATTTGATGATTTATTAAAAAATAGGAATAGATTAAGTTCAGAATTAAAAAATTTATATATTGCGAAATAATAGAAGTGAAAGGAAATGAAATGGAAAAGATAATTTGATTGTCACATCAGGTAATAATAAATCTTTAGGTAAACTATCAGCCATATTCATTCATTCATTCAGTCATGAAAAGAAGGAAATTATGAAATATTTATAATTGATAGAGTATTTTGAAACTTTTATCTTAGTTGTAGTGAAATGAGGAGAAACGAAGATGGTAATTGTAACGATTAATGTTTACATGATGTCAGATAGATGGATGGATAGATGGATGGATGGCTGGATGGATGGATGGATGGATAGATGGAGACATTAAGAGATGACAACGACAAACAAATCGATTAATAAAATTTTTGGTTGCTATCCATTAACAATCATCAAAATTTTCTTTTCATAACATTTTATCATTCCTTTCTTCCTCTTATCTTATCAACCTTAATATAATTGAATGTTATCATATAAATAATGTTAATATATCAATGAACAAATAATAGCTTCCTATGCGCCAAATGATTTTCTTTTTTGATTGAATGGAAATTTGAGAGTTGAACAAAAAAAATGATGAAATTTAAAAAAAATGTTAATTCACATTTAATTGCTTAGAACCAGTTCCTTTTATAGGATTATAGAAATGATAAAGTTGAAATTTATGGTAGTAAAATTTGCAAGCATTTTCTTTGGTGCTACCACTAACTATTACTTCAATAATTGTTGCCAACACAAATGATTGAGTAAATTATAATCATTTTGTTTGTGATAGTAAAATTATAATTGCGATCATAAAAATTAACTAACATAATAACTTGAAATATTTGAATTATTTTAGTATTTTCAAAAATTTTGCAAACATTTAAGCATATAAATCGAAAATTCACATAATGAAAAGATTTTTAAAACAAAAGAAAAGATGAAAAAATGTGCCGACATTAAAAATTTTAATTTATTTGTTTGCTTTTTTTTAATTTCAAATGGAATCTAATAGTTTAATAATTATTGAACAAATTCATTGATGAAAAATACTTTCCAAAAATTAAGCAAATATTTTTTAAAGAAAAAAAGATAGCGAAATAAAGTAAAATCAGAAGTTATAGTTTCAAATGAGAATTAATAGAAGAAAAAGAGGAAAACAATAAGAATGAATGGGAAAAGGATGAAGAGAGTTGTTCTAATGAAATGTAACACTGATATGATAATATGTGATAGTAGACAGAAACAGTTGCCACAATTATTATGAAATGAAATGATAGATGAAAATGAGAGGGAAAAATTATAACTAGCATGCTAAACAGGAAATAAAGCTTCTTTTCTAAATAACAAAAATTTCTAGAAATATAGCATCATCAAATGTAAAATAATATATTCTGAAATGTTAATATCTCTTGCAAAACAAAATGAATACTCAAAAATAGATTAATCGATCGTTTACTTCCGAATATTAGATTTATTGATTAGAATTAGATAAATTGAAACAATGAAAACATTTTCCTAAAATTGAAATAACCAAATCGAATATTCCTTATGAAACATTGATTAGTTTCGTTATTTAAGTAAAATATTCGAATCCTGAAAAATCTAGACTCAAAACTGTCACAGAAAAAATTACACGTGATTTCATTATTGCGAATGGATGGAACTTCATAGATGAAAAATATCTGCAATTTGCGCTTGGCACTTTTCTTCTTCATAATAACTGCAGCAATCGTCCTTCATTTTGCTATTATGCAAATCATGTTTTTTCTAGTTAATAGCTTCTGAAAATCCTTAAATAACTTTACGCCGAAAATACGGTTTTCGCAACTTATATATCAAAATTCTTGAACAATATACATCCCGAGATTTCTAATATCATCAATAATGCGATAGAGTTATCAATTTTCCCGAATCATTGATTGTATATAAAAAATTATCAAGCAAATGGTATATCAAAAATCCATTTGAGTAACTAATTTCTTCTTAGTATGCTATTATTTAATGTGCCATAACTTGTCTGCAATCATTTATATATTGATCGCAGCGAGCTTACATGAAGTATATATTCATTAAAAACTCATAATTTCACATATGTCATCAAAATAATGTATTATAAGGCTCTTTTCCATCACAAACTTCAGATTCTTTTTCAGTTTTTCGATGAATCTGAATTAGTCAAATTAATCTAAAACATGAAACAGACAAAAATTTGCACAGTTCTTCAAGCTGCAACTTTTGCAATCAGTTCCTTTATTCTTAAAAACTTCAAGACAATTTCAAATGTAATATACAATTTTGCAATCTCCGAAACATTTCACGATTTCCGAAGCCTTCGATTATCTACCGGCGATGGAGAAGTTGATGAAGATAGTGCTTTGCGTTTCCTCATCTGTAAAGGAGTAACTGCTGATTTTAAAGTAATAAACTGAAGCAAGCAATAAAATTTTATATCTTTATTTATCACATCATTAGTTTCCGCCGTTAGTTTTTGAAAAGTTAAATATCTTTGCTAGTAATAAAATAAAGTTGTTCGAATTAAATTTGGAACATGAATTTCAAATTCACAATAATTCTAAACTTAGAAGGAAAAAAATAAAATAAGAAAACGATTTAAAAAAATATAACAGGTACCGTCTGCGGTAATGATGTAGTCAATTCAATCATATCAGTGATTGTTCGGTTTGTCATTGGTGCTCCCTCCGTGCCTAATTGTGGTGTGTCCGTAACACTTGATTCACTTGCTGTCCGTACTCTCATTCTGGGCTCAATATCAAAAGTCTACAAATTAGTAAAATTCTGACTTCAAAAATGGAAATTTTACTAAAAACTTCTACTCACACAATTATTTAAAAAGTCAGAACTGGTTTATGAATTTCCGGAATAAAAAGGATTTTTTCGATCTAAGTTTCACTTTTTCAGTGGTGGCTTCTCTGCTGAATCCCATTTGTCTCAGATTAAAAAAATTGATGAGATATGAGTCTAGTTTCAATCATTTCCATGGAATAACAGCTACCAACGCTAATAGAAGAAAGAATTATATGAGAAAAAAAGTAAACTGACCTTCCCAGTTAAAGCATTATAACGTGTTCTCAGTGACTCTAATTCAAATTCAGCTGAATGCAACGAATGCTTCAGTTCTTGTAGGAGTACAATACGAGCCCGAAATTCGTTATAACCCTTCACGATATCTGCCACTCCGAATGGTACCAAATCTTTATAAACAAAGAAATTTCTTTACGTAATCTTCTGTAAAATTCGCTGTTTTCATAGGATTTTGAAACAACTTAGTTATTCCAATCTTCCTCGAAAAAGAATGGCATAATTTTAGAAAAAAAGAAAGCTTAACTAAGTGAAATTGCTAAAACTAATTGCCAAAATACTGAGCATGGTAGAAAAGTGAGAGAGAGAGAGTTACCAAGTTTGAGCTTCTCAATAACAGTTTCAATATTTTTCAACTTTTTCTGTCCTATATTAGTTGGTAATTTCATCTCTTGGCTTCTCAAATGTGCGCCAGCACTTCGGAATTCCGGAAATCGCAGATTTGAATGATCCTGAAATATCAATTTGTTCTTTACACTTTTAAAAAATTACTCTGGTAATTACAATTTTTACAGTTATGGAAGAACTTATTTCAAAAACAAAAAAATTGTTACCTGTATGTAGGATGCAGTAACTGAAGGATTTGATACAGATGAACTCTTGAGGAGTCGAGATTTATGAGACTTTTTCATACTGGAGCTGGGAACAACAGTTACAGTGCTGCAAGAAATTATTTCACCAATAAATGAGATATACACAAAGCGAATGTATAGACTTCTCTACTCTTATTCATTGATTTCTGACTAATCAATCAGTTCGAAATTTCATTTTTGATATGTATCTATACACTTTCTCTTTTCTTCTCCTATGTCTTTACATCTATTAACATATTTATTCAAAATTAAATATAGTAAGATAAAATTAAGAATTTGTCTCCATCCCTTGCAAAACCGGTACAGATTCATAGTCAGAGTAACGACCATGATAAGGAAGTATTAAACATTGGGATAGCGTGAAGAGTGTAAGATGAAAAAAAGGAATGAAGAAAATTGAATAAAAGTAGAAAATTGGAGCAAAAAACACAGGAATCAATATAAACGATTCACAGCAACAAATGAACTCGAATTCACAGAATCTTACAAATAATTCAATACTTACGAAACTGATGGTGATGCAGGTGTTCTTTCGCCTGCAGTAATTAGTTTTTGGAGATCTTGCGCTTTCCTTTCACGTTCCCGTTTACGTACCTCAATTTTTTTTAACTCAGCAATCAACATTTCTTCCTCTTCGATCTGAAAACACTTCCAAAATTTCAATAATAATATTTCATCAATCAAAATATTAAAGCAAAACGCGTAAACTTCCCAGACATTTCCTATATTAAATCTTTAAATTCAAGTCTCGACGCACACATACACCGCATCTCTAAAAAATATGAAAAGAGTACCTGTTGTTCTGTACGATTCCATTGTTTTATCAGTTGTTCCTTCCGCCTTTTTTCATGTTCCGCATCATAATATAGAGCATCAACATTTTCATTTCTCAGTGCATTTAATTCATTTATAGCGTTATAAAACCGTTCCTTCATCTCTTCCATAGTACGACGAGTTGAACCTTCCCACCTGTCCACAATGATTACCCATCTGGAAAAGTTATCAGACTGATAAAACTTCATTTCTAGCATGTTGCCAACTAGAATTTTATCGAACTTGATCTTCGCGTTTTTTGAAAATTTTTTGCAAACAATTTAGCTCTTGACCTTAAATCAAAACGTCGACAAAGATCGAATAAATGGCCAGTGTCCCTTTTGCTCCATTTTGCGGAATTCAAACATTTGTCGTATTCTGCATCCGTAAATGTTGGAACATTGATGACCTAAATCTTAGTTGTGAAGTGAAAATATAGTTACATTATTAATTTCATCGAATACCATATTTTTCACAAACGATGAATACAAAATAAACTCACGAAGATGAGCAAAACTTAAGCACTGTAGCAATGTTGCACTAAAAATTTTGACAAAAACATTCGACAACAAAAAGGAAAAAACAGAAACAGTAAAAATTGAACTAGAGACAGCTAAAATAAAATGGAAACACTTTCATTAAATCACTGGCGAATAAACTTCATAGATGATCAGTCGACAAAGTAACCATCATGAAACCATGCTCCAGTTATGGCCAGTGAAACATAGGTAATTCCAAAGACATTTCTTATTTTATTGAGAAATCAAATGATATATGCCTGCATGGAGAGCAGCAGAAACCTACACTACGAATCTCAGAAAAAAGGCCAACAGGTAAGGCTACGTGTTCGACAGAATATCAAAAGCGACATTTAAAATTTAAAAATAAATTTTCGTTATCTGAAAATAAATGAATAAACCTTATTGAATCTAGCAAATGGATAAACATCATCCAGTTTATCCGTACGTTTCCAATGGTTTAATTTCAAGCCATCGGTACGAGCAGCATTCTCAAACGGAGTCCATTCCCATGGTCGAACACGCCTCATACCAATCTTGAAATTAAAATTAACTAAAATTCTTAATAACCATCCAAAATTCCAATTATATAAAACGGAAAACGAAAGAAGTTCCACAGTGAAAGCCGATCGCAAATAAATATGGTGACTCAAACGTTCATCACTCAGCAAAATTAAACTCACTAAAAAACTGAATTTTTTCTTTTTTTCCTTCTCTTTTCATTTGTTATTGAAAATCTTACTCTAGCTTTCTGATGACAGTAACCAGTATTTTTGGTAGTTGTTGGCATGAGAGCAGCAAAATTCCGTTCTCGATCTAATAAATTGTACAATTCACGATGCATACCTTCTGGTCGCTTGAAATACGCATCGCTACGATGTGATTTCTTATGCTGCAATCACAATTATGGATTGATTAAAGTTCCTCGAATGCAAGTTAAAATTTCAATAGCTGGCGGTGACTTATTCTTTACCTAAACTTGAAAATCTACGAAAAATACAATATATTGAGCCTGAAAGTAAATCCATTTTATACAGATCTAAAAAACCATTAACATTTATTTAAACAATAACATATAGTTATTTTCAAAATTAATACTCTTTTAAGTATCATAAAACAAGTGAGCAGTTTTGTTCCAAGATTGGTGCTTGACAAATGCTCATTCGTTAAGCGTTTGACATATAAATATAAATATAACTAAGTGTCAAGATATACTTCACCTAAATATGCAAAGACCATTTCTTTTCATAGCAAATTCTACAATTTATGTGCTTAAAAAGTAGTTCCGATAATAAAAGAGAACCTTTCGATCAACATCTGTTAAACCACCAGCTGGAATTACGCTTTCATCTTTTGCTGCATTGTTGCTTAAACCAAGAATGTCCTGCGCATCCGCTGTATTCATCCTAAAAACCACATAAGATGACCGGTAATACCATTAACCGCTGATATTTATCCGATATACACAAACAAATATCCATCATTTAATCTATCAGCTTTGATGATCAGTGATCGAGCATGAATAGAAAAATGTTAAAACAAATTTATATTTCACAATGTTCTATTATATCGTTCAGAGCGCTGAGCACTCCTTACTTTTTAAAGCAAAGATAATCGGATCATAGTATGTTGCTACTAAAAACACCCCCGTTCTCATAACTTCGACTAGTTAATATTAATAGTAAAATAATCACTTACTTATGTTGCTAGAAATACGAATGCATGACACTTTCATTAATTGAATTAACAAATTTCTCATACTTTTGATTTATATCTTTCATTTACCAAACAAAAACATTAATAGAATCCTCAATTAATATCGAATACTTCCTCAATCACTACTGCTAAAAATATCGAGTATTATTTGGTATTTTCCTCATTTGTTGCTAATATTATCTTTCACAAATATTAGCAATCCATGACACTCTCCTCCACTGCCATACTCTTTCTCTCCATTCTCAATCATTTCTATGACTACAGTATATAATTAACAATCTCTACCAAAAACAACGAGAGACTTATCAAACATACATTACTTCTTAGCAAATTAAGCCATCATAACATAAAAATTATATTATCTGTGCTACCGTGACGGACCTGGTTTGACTGACGTCGAATCTCTGTGATTCAATTTTCAGTAGATTCAATCGCATCTAAATTGCTTTTTAAATTACTTCGTGATAAAAAATTGAATTGCTCTTAGTCATTCGATTCATTAAGCAAAATAATTGAATCATCAATATGTGATTTACAGAATTCCACGATTCAGGAGCTTGTCAGAGATTTCTTCACAGGTATGACAACGCTATGTTCAATCGTCTTCAAACAATAGACGTAGTGATAAGACGAGTTTCAATTTCAAATTCTTCGGAGAGGAAGTGATCATTTTGTTTTCCTAAAATTTCAGGATGTTGTACGCAAATTTGGTTACCGCTAAATGTATGAATATAAATAGGTTATAATCAAATGATAATAATCGTTTTGTCTACTCATAGTAAATGTGAGGCAACTAACCTCTTCATGTCAACCAATGAATATCTATCCGTTGTTATGCAGAAAAGTCTAACATCATGCTTTTAACTGAGGATCAAATTAATTCGAAGATTTGTATGGGAAGAAGTGATAAGGGCTGATAAAAATATTAATCGCTAGATAAATATAAATTCTTCTCTTTGCTTATCAAAAGTTGTCAAACATATCTTTGAAAGTAATTTCTAAGTTAATGAATTCGAAAATTTTTCAAAACAATATATTAAAATTCTTTGAATGTAATTAATTAGAAAGAGTACTCAAATATTTTTTTTTGATATAAAAATTCTTGAGAACTTTTTGAATTTTTATAGAAAAATAATTATCAAAAATAGATGAAATACAGCAAAAAAGATATTTTAAATTTTAAATTAAAATTAAGAATTTCAAATTTTTCCTTTGTTTTTAAACCTTTCGCCCCTTTTAATTTCTGTTATTTATTTACTAATTTAAATTATCGTCTTGCTTATTACTTTAATTAAAAGGAAAACAAGTTTATAGCAAATGATAATTTGACGAAAATGAATAGATCGCCAAAAAAATGTCAACATGAAAAGTTTAATAACGTAAATGTTTTGGAACTCTCACTCTTAAATTTTTAAACTTTCATAGTTTTAATAATTTGAATAATTCATTTCATTTAATTCTAATAGAGTTTCTCGGAGTTAACTATTAATTTTTTGCAGAACTGAAGATAACAAGATAGAGAGTAAAAATGATTTAGAAAAGAAAGATTCAGAGAGAGAGAGAGAGAGAGAGAGAGAGAGAGAGAGTAACGATGAAAAAAAGCTCTTACAACAATTTGATGAAAATTCATAATCTATTGAATGTATCATTTAAAATCTCGAAAGTATAATTATATTATTTTCCTCAATTTTGAGGGACTTAAATTTGATGGTAATAAAAATAGTTAAAACGATGAACATATTAGCAGAACGATTTGCTTGTTTTTCATATCTTTTACTGGAATAACATCACTTCTACTATCATATATCATTTTAATAGTTTGATTGATTTAAATAGTCAATAGTACTTTTACTCTCATCAATTTTCAAATTTCACTTCTTTCTATTTCAAATTCTCTTCCGTCTATTATCTGTATAGTTGTCAAATTTTCAATATTATCGTTTTTCTTTCGAGGGAAAAACGTCGAAACCATTAGAACGTTTGGAAGAATTTGTGGTGGAAAATTGTGAATTAGAAAAAGGCCTATCTTTCAAAATAAAAAATTAAATTAAAAAAGGTTGCTCAAAAAGATACAAACAAAGCAGCAGGTTGCATTACCAAAACAAAAATTAATTGTAAGGTAATAACTGTTTAGTTATAATATTTTATCCGATTATTACATAATGAAAACTACGCTAAATTTATACGTCAAGCAACACTTATTGACAGCTGTCAAATTGATAAATCTCGAAAAATTCAAACTTTAATAATATTAATTATTTCTATTAATCTATTCCTATGCTTAACATCGCTTTATTAATCGATCTGAGATATTTTCTTCAAATAACTGAGCGAATTTTATCTCCAAAAATAAAATTGATTCATAATTTGATGAATAATTTTGATATCACTTCAAATATAACTATTAATTACAAAAAGAAACCTTTCAATGTTAATAAATCGAAACACAGAAGTTCATTACCATACCTATATCAAGGCATTTAATTAACCTTATAGAAATTGTAACAAATTTGTTTGCATTGTTAAAAAGTGATAATATTAATATCACTTTAAAGACAAACAGTTATTAATTATTATCTCTAAAAATAATTAAGAGACTTCATTCTTCTTATTTCTATAAGGTTAATTAAATGCCTTGAAATTACAGGCATTAATCAAACAGATTCTATTCTCTCACTTGATCGAACATAATCTTATGTTATATTACATGAAACTTATACAGTGAAGCAAATTCCTCCATCATTACAATTACCGTATCCGAATTTATGCTAAAATATATGCTTTATGCTAAAATATCATTTTGCATGACATTTATAATCTTTCCAATAATATTTATCATTTTTATTATAACTATATTTGGTAAACTGAAAGTTTAAGAATTTTAATTTCTATATAAAACTTTCTTCATATATATATATTGTGGAGGAAAATTAATGAGTGCGTGGCGTTTTTTTATCACAATTGTAGATTTTTTGGTAATATTTAAACAAATTTCATTCCAAATATTAAAATATTACCGTAGTAACTATTGATTGAATTTTCAATTATCAAATATTAAGCGTTGAATTTTTCAAGCAACTTAATTAGTTAGATTTTACCTTCTTAATCACTTTTCAGGTTGATGGATTTCATTTTCATCATATGGACTATTTAATTCTGAACGTTTAATTCGGTTAACAAATAGCTGGAAAGATGCTAAAAATTGTTTACGAATGAAACAAATTAGTTCGTTTACTCCAAACTTATAATAAAATATGCTAAATTTGAATTTAAATTTAAACTTGCAAAGTTTTATAGTTAATTTTAATTCGGAATTTAAGAAAAGTAAAATCTTTCTCCTTTTTTTTGTTTCTGAAAAGTCTAAAAATAAATTAATTTATTAATTATTAAAAAATAAAAATAAATTTAAATTAAAATTTGTCACGTTTACCTTATTCATAACAATAACACCATTTTAGCATCTTCCACAGTGTAATAATAATTATCGTAAAATTTCAACTGTACCATAGAATGTATGAATAGAATGTATTCGAAGTAAAATGTAATCACCACAATGGAGCTCATATGATGTTAAAACATAAGATTGAACTACTTCCTCCATTTCATTTGTTTTTGATATTTAAATTTAAATACCACTGATGGTTTACCACCGATCGTTTACCGTCTAGTTGTTTGCAATGATAAAGAATGGAAATGGTGTAATCTTTCTGTTGAATTATATTTTATCAATCAACAACTCATTAATATTAAATAGTGCTAATAGCTAATTAAAATCAATATTCAATTATCTGTAGAAATAATTTGTGTTATCATTAAAGATTTTTTTCTTTTTAGCAATAACATTGTTGTTGAAGAAATTTTTATTTCTATCATCTAAACTAACAGCCAAATAAAATATTTTATAGTATAAAATAAAGTTGTTGATTTAGTCAACAAATTAAATCAAATTACAGCTTGATTGTAGATAAATTCTAAAATTTAATTGTGAAATAAAGACTATTTAAAAGTTTTTCTATACCCAACTAAACAACATTCCAACATACTCCTTCATCGATTACAAATTTCATTTCTTCTCTTTCCCTTTATCTCTCTCTCTCTCTCTATTTTGCTCAATTGATAACTGTAGTAGTAATAGTAGTTGTTGTAGTAATATTATGCTAATAGCAAAAATACGTATCTTTCTTCCTACTTCTTCAAATAATGAAAAAATTTTTTTTTGTTTTAAATTAAAATTTTATAAGAAGAGTCTCTTTAAAACTAATTAATTCCATTTCAATTGATTGTTTACAATTTTTTTTTCATTTAAATTTCCAAATTTTATATTTATTATCTCTCAATATTTGATATATGCTTTTAACTTATCATTTATCATTTATCACTTATCACAAGAGATATCATAGATATATCAATGTTGTTTACAGGTTTTTTTCTAGAAGAAAACAAGTTTTTCTTCTTACTCTTTTAATGTTTTTTTCTTTACTTTTGGTTTTTTATCATTGTAAGATAATTTCTTTTTTCATTATTTTTCTTCTTTCTTTTTTACTTTTTTATCATTGTTTTTTTCCCTCTCTACTCTCTTCATGTCTTATCATAATCACAATCTCTCTTTTTTTCTCTTCATTTCTTGTTTGTTTTCCTCTTCTACATGTCTTTTTTATTTATATTTGAATTTCAAACATTATCTGATAA